ATAAACATTGCTGAACAGAACTTGCATGGTCTCCTGGAGTTCCTCGGGCTAGGCCTGACAATAACTCTATATTACTTATTTAGCTAATTTGAAGGGAGCTGCAGTTATGCATTATTTTAGCTTCCTTCCTTTTTTCCCCTTTCTTCTTTTTCCTTTTCATTTTAACCATGTTCTGAATACTATCCTATCTTTGAAATATAGAACACTATCACAGTAAACAACCTCCTTTGTCCTTTCTGTAGACTGTGTATCCAAATATAATTGTGTCAAATTGATTTTTGCTGTTCCAACAGATTTCTGACATACCCCTGTATCAATATTCTCTTCTGCTATCAGGCAATTACTGTAATTAATGTGATCAAATTTAATGGAAGATACTGTATTTGGAATAATTGTGCAGAATACAATATTTCCACAGGTGCAGCTTTTCTAATCTTTGTACATTGAGTTTAGCTTATACCTGTCAAAATCTCTCTTCTACAAAACAACTAAATGCATAGGGCACTTTAATTTTTTAAAGATTTTTCTGCCTTACACACTAATGCATTTCCAGATTAATTGGCTCCTAGTCCATTTGTTCTAACCCACTTCAAAGTGCCAGATTTGATCTTTAAACCTGTCATGGCTTGGGACCAGAACTGAATGACTGCCTGTATGCACTAACCCAGACCTTTACATTTTCTTCTGAGGAGGCTACTGAGGAAAAGGGCTTTTCCACTGACAGTGTTGTGGTTTATCTGGCATGAACTATCCTTGATTCGAAGTGAAGACTTCTTCCCCTCCCCAGTTTTTAATCAGTTCTGTATTTCAATTCATCAATCTAGTGATCAGAAGTATTCTTTTTGAAATTTCCAAGGAGTAAGGATTAGAACAGGACCTTTCAGCAACTTTCATTACTCTTGGTGATGGCCTGCCAAGTAGGCTTGGGTATCTAACAATCCATAGCATATATATTACAATTGTTCATGTAAGTGTTGAACTGATAGGTTTCAAGTAAAAATGTGTGATAAAGACACAGGATATGAAATGGATGTGATTCTGGAAGAGGGAGGTTTTTTTCATAAGGTTTTCATTCTATGACCAAGGTCATTGCAGAAGAAATTGAGTTCCCCATTGGCAGCTGCCATTGTTCTGACACCCAGTTATCAAGGAAATAATGCTGTCTTATAATTTAGCATAATTTAAATGTAGCTTTAGGGAGGTGATGTCAGACAAAGTTTTTGGGAGAGGCATGACAGCTGAAATCTTCACAATGTTGTCCTGATTCTTCACATACAAAGCAGTTATTGAAATTTGGGGGAGGGGGGTTATTTAATTTTAAAGAATCATTATAGTTGCTTAATAAGTGAAGGATATACAATCTTTTTCTAGTCAAGGGCTGTGCTTGGCCTTTGAGTTTACTGGATGAATACTCTGAAACCTGAATGGATCCAAGTTAAAAAAAATTAAATTTAAATTCACATTTGATTAAAATAATTAAATAACTTGAATATGCTTCACCACCATGTATTTTTTTTTCCTTTTTGTAAATTGAAAACTGAAATTTGGCAGCATGAAACCTATAGTCACAGTTTGTACACTCCTGCTGTAGGATGTATTTTTACACTTTGTCTAAAGGATTCATAGCACAGGTAATGGTAATATCCATGGGAAGACAAGGGGAGTCAGACTGATGTCAGCAGTGATGTAACCCTTGGACCCCATGACAATGGGATGTATTACTTTCTTCTATCATGACAAATCATTAAAGACAATGCATATAATCAAAATGTTTTAGTATATTCAGATAGAGCTAGCTACTTATTCTGAGGCTTCCATGAATATAAGGATTAAAAGGTAGAGCTTGTTTATTTATTTATTTATTTTTATTTAGGTGCTGCCCAATTCTCAAGCTATATCAGAAAAAAATACATATCTAGTTATTTAGAATGCAGAAGCTTTATAAGCTTTGCTTTGAAACTTAAGATAGTATATTAATCTCTTATAGATGTGGATTGAGGCTTGACAGGTCACATGCAGCTCTTTGCAATCTATCAAAGATGAACTGAATGTGAAAGGAAGCTTGTCCAGATACTGTAGATCATTTGGATCTATCTCATAAACACATGTGGGAATGTCCTTGGGAGACAGGGTGAAGAGACACAGCAAAGGGAACAGTAAGATAAAAGGCAACTTAGCCTGCAACAGGAATGTGGTGGGGCAAGCAGCTCAGAAGGGACTCCATCTAGTTTCTTGGGCTGGAAAGTGAACAAGGGGACAAATATACTTTCAGAGTTGCAAGATTCTGTTAATGGAACCTTACAATAAAGTAGAATTGGCTCATCTGGCTGTGTTTCCTGTCTGGTCTACCTCAGAAGGCTGACTAACATCAACAGTTAAGAACATACTTTTAGATAATAAGAACCACAAAGAGAAGGAATAATGCAGAAGGGATCTCTTGGTTCCCTTCTTTCTCTTCCACAGTTATGTGCTTCTAGACATTGGTGACTTTCCTAAACAATACAGAACAATATACAGTGGCTTTAGGAAGCAGGAGCAAGACTCAACTATAGAAATATTGAAGAAAGACTACTGTAAGGGGTACTACAGGTTTTGAAAACCAAAAGTCTTGTGGCCTTTTAAAGTAACAAATTCATTATCACATAGATTCTATGGATCTCAAGTTCATCAAATACTGTACAGGGAGCCCCCGGGTTAAGAACACCTGGCTACAGATGACCCATAGTTAAGAATGGAGCCTATTGTAGCAAAATTTGAGTTAAATATACAATGATTCAAGTTAAATACACAATGGTTCAAGTTCAGTACACAATACTACTTATACAGTATTATACAATAATACTGTTCTGGCTTACATATGAATTTGAATTAAGGACAAACCTTGGGAGTGGAACTCATTCTTAAACTGGGATGTACCTGTATATGGGGAGAGGTCTGGAGAGAAGGATTTGTTATATATTTAAAATTGTTGTAGAAATTATGATTAAGGAAGGGAGAAAAGGGGAGCAAGGGGAGGTAATTATGGAAGAGGAAAAATTGCTTTAGCAGCTGCAGGCAGAAGGGTAAAATAATAGTAAGAACAACAGCTTTGTTCTGCAGGTCACAATCTAAAAAGAGTACAACATTATCCAGTTTTATTCTGGGAATGGAGTAGGCTTTAAATTACACTAAACTCTGTACTGATTGACAACACCTTACCACAAATGCAACTAGGCCTGGACTTTAGGGCAGATGTCCAGAGTCCCACAGACATGGGCAGGACAAAGTCTTAAGGACTGGAGCAGCAAAAGAAAAAACAAGAAAACTAACATCAACATATAATTTGGCCTGCATGTGCTAGGGCCCAAGGAGGGTGATGTCGTTCATCAGAACATCTTTATTTTCCCCTCTCTCTTTTGCTTTAAATTAAAATATTATGTAGTCTTGGGACAGCTAGCTAGACATTCACATAGTCATAATGTCATTATATTTTTCTTTAAATATGTTTTATTATTTTCTGAAATAAAGTGGTATTCAATTCCAAGTAAGACATTTACTTATATTATTTGTTGCTCGATTTTTATTCTGTTTTTCACAAGTGTCAGGATGTGATGGAATGGAATTATGAAGGCCAGGCTCACAGAGATAAACATC